ACTGTAAATGGATATTTCTGCTGAACAACCGAGACCTAGGTGTAACTTTCGATGGTAAAGGTTTCCCATTTATGTTTTACCAATTACCAAATACCATGTCCAATGTTATAGTGATCATAATCCATCGTAGTTGGAGTTGTGTATTGTCCAAAAAAAATATCCATTTACAGTTTCCAAAATTGCATTGCAAAAGAATCAGAAGAAAGTTTTGCAGCCAAATTAGAGCGATTAAAATTTACAACGTTAAGGTTTTATAAGTGAGATTTTTTCTTTTTTAAATGCATTTTGTAATACTTGTCCGGGCCTCTTCCAAACGATTTTAATTAAGATTTATTTTTAAAATTTACAAGTTTTCAGGCATTAAAAATCTGTTTTTAATTAAAATATGTTTTTTTTGGAAGATACTCAGATCCCAGCTTATTCGTAGTCCAGCCAAGTTAAAACCTTTCTAGCAAATAGTTCTTCTATTTATAAGCCCCGTATTTGAAAGTTTATTTTGGTAAAATTAAACTCTCGGGAGGCGATTGAGGTATAATATTGTATTTTCAAAAAAATTATCTTTAGGAATGTTATTCTTGAAAACATGTTTGATTGACGTTATTGATTTAAAAAAACATTTTTTATTTAATAAATGAAAAATTGTGGAATAGTAAGTAAAAAAAGGTAGTTATTTAAAAAAATAATTTTCATTTCCTTGGAAATATAAGATAATATCAAATGAGAATCATGTCAAATGTGAATGTTTTAAATTCTTAAATAAAATATACCGAAAAATATCTTTTTATAATCTTCTAATAAATATTAGAATTTGTAAACAAAAAAATATTGGAATAGATATTTTCACCTTCACATTCTCGAAAATAGAAAAACTTTGAAACAAACACCTCCTTGTTTACGTGATGAATTTATAAATACTTACTAATTTATTTTTTATTGAGTAGAGTCAGCAATGAGGCGAATCTCCTCACGTACATCACATTAAATCGTAAATATATGCGTGATTGTCAGCCTTAGTGTCAAATCTCCTTGATTTCCTTACTTTACAATATTTGGGAAAAGAGGAGGGCTATATCGTCCGAAAAGGATTCGAAATAACGTCCGAAAATTTAAAATATTAATATTTTATAATAATTTTACTATTAAATAATTATTTAATTTAATATTTTATAATTTAAATTAATTTTTTAAAGATTCGGAACGTATTTCGGAACACGTTTTCGGAGTTTGTAGAATTTTTCTTGAGAAAAAGGTATAAGCAGATGATGTCATTTTGAATTTTTTTACACTATTTTGTCACAAGACAAGTTTTCTATAATACTCGCTGTGTTGATATCTTTCCAATGTTCGAATTCGAGCACACTACAAAAAAACCTTGATTTATTTGCCACGGTTAATGCAAATATTTATTAACTTATGCTTTCGCCATTTTAATCTTAGTTTTCGTTATAACCTTTTTTTGGGTAGTAGTTTTCGTTATAAACTTGTTACTCAATCCTTATTCATTTCTAAAAAGAATGAACAATAACAATTCAAACCTCATCAATCCTTATTATTTTCTTGCTAATTGAAAAATTAAATTTAAAAATTATATATGTATCAAATTATTTTATTATACATAATTCATAATAGCTGAGGTGATTGCGATTTTGGTTGTTGATTAACACAAATAGATAGGTGCTTTCGTGATAATACTATCTGGTGACATAAATTACTGCCATAATCAACCTAATTTTTAACTTTAAATGGAATATTACATAAGATTTAAATCTACTAAATTAAACTACTCTGATCAATAACTCGCCCTGTTATATCTTTTATCATAACTTACGAATATACTTTTTTGCGAGAAGATTTTATGCATATAAAACTGCTTGCTTAGAATTAAAAAAACAGCGCCTTATATTTAAATTCATTTCAATTAGGCATGAGAATCTAATCCGTCCCGGAAGTAAATACCCGAACTCGCCCCGATTTGAACGGGAAAAACCCGTGTTTATCAGATTTGAATTTGAGTTCAGATTTTTCTCGATTAATAAAATTGGGGACGGGAACGGGAACAGGAATGTTAATACCCACCTCGCCCTCGCTCCAATCCCCGCTTAATAGTATAATTAAAAAATTATTTTTATATATATATAAATCAAAATTAGAAATATTTATATATAAAAATTTATATTATTTTATTTT